ACGATGGTACCCAACACTGAGCTGTACCCTCGTGGCCACGCCCACTCTGCATCCTCCTGTGAAATTTTGATCTTTCTGAAATTTTTACATTTTTGGACCGCCACTTGAGGCCCCGCCCACTTCAGAAAAATGATGCGGATCGGCAGTTGTAGGCGTGGCCGCCGAGGCTGGGCTCACGGTCGCGGGTGTCTGGCGTGATGTAGTTGACGAACTGTCCGGTCTACAAAGTGCGTGAATTTGGTTTGAAAAGTGGTGAATTTTAAGTGAAGATGGTACAAATAGAGGGAGGTCCGCCGGTTAGAAAACTAGTCATGAAAGGGATAATAAGCGCTGAGTTCTTATTGCCCTAACTACAGCTTTTCTTCGGAAAATTGATGAAATTATAGATACCAGGGCATGTCCTGGCGCTTGGGAATATGATTTTTCTCGAATGTTCTCCTCCAGTACAACCCCCTTCCACAATCAATCAGTCGTCCCACCAAAATTTCTCAAAATTTTGCCACTGAGCGGGGAGGGCCACCGATTATGGAGCGGGTAACAAAGGATCGAGATAGGGAAGAGAGAGGGAGGTATAATACATAACGCGATAAGTGCAAAACATCAACAATCAGAAAAAAAACTTGTGGGAAACGGCACGTGAACATAAGTTGTACATCGAAAATGATAGAAGCTATTATAAGAGGCTTCATGTATGCAATATAAGGCGGAGGAGAGCCCCTACATGCGAAATAAATTACAGTGAACGGCGATGAAACAAGTACACACGGGAATAATGCCCAAGATAGGGAAAGAACTTCCAGAGATGGGTAAGGTACTTCGTTGCGTATTTCGTCTAAAGACAAGCCCGCCATCAAGTGTTACGGGTAGAGGTGCTCAGTCATGAACCAGCACCCATTGGTAACTACGCAGTAAAGAAAGGAGCGAAAAAAACCTTGGCACCTTGATCAGAGACCCCCTTAGCAGTGGGGCCGGCGCCTTGGACGAGTTTGACGGGCTCGGCAAGGCCCCATCAGCCGGATTCAGACATAAGCCAAACCAATTCCAGGCAACGCTATGTACACGCAATTCCGCTTGTAAGCCGTTGTCTTGCAGAGTGAAAGTAATCGTGGTTGCAATGGTTGCAATAATCACGCGTCTCTAGCTTCTTTATCTCGCCGTTTCGAGTGACGAAAGTGGTATATTCTCTGCGAATGCGGACAACGATGCCAAATGCACGGAGACATTTCGCGGACCACTTAATCGCGAGAACTGTCTTTTAACATTGCGTAGAATGCTTTTTTAGCTGAATATTCCCATTTAAAGCAAGTGGCATATGTGTCGTGCTGGCGCTGAAGACATCATGTCAATGGTGCCGTGCCAGCACCAAAGGCGCAGCCGCCGTCACATCAAAATATACATACACAAGCATGGCTTCTCCCCCCCCACCCCTTCCTCTGGGACGTTGAGTGTATCAGGTGTAAGTACCGGCGAAATCACGATGTATTGAGTGATAGTGAACGGTAGTTGGGACGTGATGATTACAGTGAGCTATAATTACTGGTGAAGATTTCGAAGGTCCCATGCCTCGCACTGAGCAATCTCAAGGAAGTAGATAGTGCTCACCTTGTCAAGTTCCATGTCCATTTTGCCTCTCATGTTTTGTGTCAATGTGCCGGTACAGGCAAGTGCCACTCGTGAGACGCTTGACCGAAGATTTTTACACTCGTTCAAAATCGCAAGCACTACCTGCAAGTTGATAACGTAAACCTGAGAAAATTCTTAATCTACTGAAACTGGAGAGGTGGTCAGGAGATCGTACTCGGCAGTGCAACAAAAGCTGCGTTGCAAGTGGCGCGGCACACGGAATATGGGTGAATACATTTGAGTGCACTTCGGTGCATTAGGTGATCCAGCTTTTGCGAGTCGCCGCAGTAGGGTGTCCTGCTGGTCTGGTTGAAGTTACTGCCCCTTTCCAGCCCCAACTGAAGACAGATCTCACGAAGCTTACCTCATGCATATGATCTGATACATCTGTCGGGTTGGTTGCCGAAAGTTCACTGATCATATTTATGCCCTCCACTTTCTGGCTCCTGAAAGTGTCTCATTAATTGGCAGAAAAGTAAATCTTCCTACGCGGAGAGATTCTTCTCGTGGGCACACCTATGTAGGAAAGTGGCGCTTGCTACTATTATCAGACTTTCATGTAGAACTTGGTGCACAAATTTTTTAGGCTTAGTCCATATCCGAGGAATGGAGAGAGCGTGACCACGAATTGGTTTCTGGGAAATGGCAGAGAGGCGTGAGCCATTCGAATGTTCTGGGCGCCAGATCATGTCGCCCTTTGGTTACTTTGAACGAGGCAGGAGTGTTTCCGTGTGGGTCCTACTCACCTTCTCTCGAGTTTTCCTGTTTCAGTTGCGCTTGCCATTTACCCCACCCCCCCCCTTGGAAGAACTGCGGAAAAGTGGTAGGAAGTTGGGAAATTCCAGAGAAATGATAGGATGGAAGATGGGGAGGGGTGGGTCGTACCAGAGTAGCAAGTTACGAGAGGGAGTTGTGTGTTTGCGAAAGATTCTCCCAACGCTGCTAGCGCCGGGAGCTTTATGCAACTGCAGACACTCGGAAACGGTGAAAGACAACTCGGACGATATAGTACGGATTCAAGAAGAAACTATAGTCCCGAGTACAGTGCGTGAATCCCATTAGAGAAGGGGCACACTTCAATCGTCATCCCCCCCCCCCATCCCACCTGGCAGTGCTGCAAAAGCATTATTTTCATTGTTGATTGGAGTTCTCCTGCTAATTTGTTAGGAATTGGGAGGTTTGGTATGGGGTCGCTCTGACGCCGCCCTTCTCCTTCGCCGCTCGCGATCTTCCCTGCTCTTACCCTCCCTGCCTGAACCGGGTCTGTTCCGGGATGCGCAACCGCTGCCAACCACACAATTAAGTAATTGAACACGCTCTGCGACCCCCCGCCCCACCCGTAGAGTCTCCATGCTTTGCTGAATGCATGGCGAGTGCACAATGAGTCTGTATTTTTTTTCTGAAGAACTCCAGTAGTCCTTTATAACAGTGGTTTTTCTAGAGCAGGTGAATGTCGCTTACAGGATGATCAGCAAAAGGTGCGCTACAACGGGAACGGTCTCAAAGCGCGGTTTCCGAAGAGATTGCCGCCCGATCGCGGTAAATTTCACCCTATTTGGTCGAGAACACGGATCGACCGGAGCTCTCTTGATAACGGAAAAGGAAATATGAATAATGCCATACCACTCTTCGCTTTCAATTTTCTTCAAGGCATTGGCGACAGTCTTCGGTCCCAAATTTTGGGCCGAACGGGCGGGTGTTGCATGGACCTTGTTCGGCGCTTGCGATTTCGATTGAGCCGATGGCAGCACTTTCACGTTCGGCTGGAATTTGCGCACAGGAGTGGATTTCTGAAAGACAATCAATGAGGACGGAGAAATCGGCTCATATATTACTATTATTATTCGTATTTCTAGGGAACGAGACTGCTAAAAGGAATCTACGTTATTATCAGAGATGTAACGCCGAAACACAGACGGCATTGAGCGCTAAGACTTGCTTGACACAGCAGCGCATTTTTTGTCCTCTTTGCACCTACAGATCTTCTGAATGGTTTTCAAACATTCATAATTTAATACAAATCGGTTAAAGAGATAAGAATCTTGAAAAAAGGCAAAAGTAAAGCGTAAAGAAACAGTTGCGGCGCTCGAAGCGAAGCTGCGCCCTACGCTAAGGATTTACGGATGCACTTATGCCTCCGGAGCACAGATAGTGTGAATTTGCCCTTATGTTCGCCCCAACCCGCTTAGGTTGCTTGTCAAGCTGAATCTTTCTCCTGCGTCGTATCCCCAATCACAACACCCAAAACGACTGACCCACCTTTGTAGTCTTAGACCAGGTTAAGAGGAGCGTCCTCAGCCTGCCGAACTACGCGGCCGTTTTAGCAAGTAAGAAGCAGGTAAGAAGTAATTTTACCGCGGAGAAATTTTGAACGAAGGGTGCCTTCTGTGCGAGGCTTCTCAAAAATCGATCTCAAGAGACCACCCGGGAGATTTGTTGGTACTTTGTCTCTCCCACGGCTTACGACTTGTGGCTTTCTTTTTAGCCCTGTAGGCACACAGACCGATCTTCAAAAGGAACAACGAGGGCCCATCATCACGACAGTTTTGAAGACTGCAGGGCCCGACGAAAGGCGTCAGAGCTGGAGAGGTTCAGCATGAATTTCTCACAAGAAAATGCATACACCGATCCCAAGAGACAAAAGGCACTCACCACGTGCTTGAGTGCGGAATGCGTCGTTGTTACAGGCAGACTGTGATGGCTCGTGCTCTTTTTGGCCAACGATCCATAGCCGGCTGTTCCATTGGAGAGCTCTGAAGAGAACTTTAGCCATTTTACTAGCTGTAAGCAGTTGGAATACCTGGCTCGAAATCTTCAAGGGATTCAGCTAAAATGGATGAACAGACTCCCATTCCTATTTTACGGGTGCAACGACGATCATTGCTCGCCACGCAAAGCCGTTTCCAAGGTGCTTGGGAGGGATGGAACGGCTTGTAAAGCTTTTGGGAGCCCTCGGCTACTTTTATTGACCATTCAAGTAAAAAACCAAAAGAAAGCCTTACGTGGTGTCCATAAGATTTTGCGGTGGTCGAGCCATGAATTCATGGATTTTGAGGTCCTAAGACCATGGATAGGCGGTAGGTATTCCGAAGCATACATCGAAGAAATGGACTTTCGGTTAGGAATGCGGTGCCAGGCAACCGTCGGTTGGCCATTATCGTTGAATACGCAAGCGAGTTCGTTATGAAGAACAAGTGGACGGAAAGTGGGAAGCTTTATAGGCCATTCAAACCTGCGCCGTAACTTTCTTGGCCCTGCGAAGCGAGTCAATAGCAGTAATCAGGACATGGATCGTCTAGCGCTCTATTCACTGCAACCAAGTCATGTCATGGATACCTCATGGGACAGAATCGTCCCTTTTTTGCATCCCTTCTTATCCCGTCCTTCATCAGAATTTTAAATGCAGTTGAACTAACGCTCACCTATAAGGTCGTCTTCGAAATATCGACCTCCTTTGGCTGGCTTGATGGGCACATCATCGAAGCTGACAGGAGGATTGTTTTCCACCTCCTCTATGAGACTTCCTTCGCTTTTGGCCTGAAAACCTACGCATGAAGCTTTGAAATCTGACTGAGGGATGCAACAAAAAAGCAGCGCAACTCTCTGTGAAGTAAAAAAGGCCTGATTATATGGCAGATTTGGAAGCGCAAATTTAAAAGGTGACGTCATTTCGGAGAAAACCGAATTGATGGAGTCATGCATCTCTTAGGAGCATATGAAATTGGGTTGGCCCATAAGTAATGGCCTTTTTTCTCTCATTCAAAATATCACGCTGAAGGTGAAAAGTTTTGCCACTGAGTTTCACCTGGTTTTGCGGAGAGTTTCTTGCGCTGCAAAAAGCTGCTGTCAAAAACTCTTTTTTGTGTCGACCCGACACTCCACTTCAATGGAATGCAAATCGGCAGATCGAGAAACAGTGGGAAGGCAACCATGCTATCTTATAGAGCAGAAAATTATCTATCGAACATTGTAGAACTCATTCGGAACAATGGTTATTTCTCAGCTAAAAATTGCTGTGTGAGAAAAAAAAACGCCATTACTTATGGGTTAACCCAATCCCATTTAGAGCTTCACCAAAGCATGTTGCTACCATTCTCATGAGCGGGGCACGTCGTATGTAAATCGGGGATTCCCATCGAGGAGGATCGTATCTGATCACTCGAAGAAGGGGATCGTATTTGCCCCCAGAAGAATTTTTCCGGTTGTGGACTTTTTTGGGTTTTTAATTTTCCCTGATTCAAGAGCGCTAATACATCGCCCTCCCCCACCGAAGGCAGTTTTTCAAGGAAAATGAAAGAATGGAGCCCCTTAAAGTGTAAGAAAGCTTGGAAAATCAGAATGGCTGGTAGGACGGGCATGAGGGAGAAGTTTTGGGAGGGGGGGGGGGTCGTCTATGCAGAAATTTTCTTCAATGGCCTGGTAACAAGCTATCGGCAGACTTTGTTGAACCCTTCCATCTCATCATCGGTAACTCCCTACCAAACATCCGGTAACTTCTCAATTCTACGACTCTATAAATCGACAACGATCAACAAACACGTCGTCGCTATCCGCCGGGGCGGTGTCAGGGGTCGCAAAATGAGCCCGTCCACGGCATTTTCTATCACTATCTAGTCGTTTCTTATTTGAGTCGATCGACCACTTTTGTCAAAAAATGAAACCGTAGGTAGAACCATTCCACGCCTCTTAACAGCGCTTCCCCTCCCTTCCCCCATTGCGACGTTATGAACTGTAAATTTATAGGCGCTGTTTATCGACGGGGGGGGGGGGGGCATTCTGCTTTTCATAGATTTGCCAACCCATCTAGGTACCCTTTTTTCGAGTTGACACGTTTTAGGATGGTGGCTAGACGATCTGCTTCACAAGCGTTCACAAGTTTTACCAGAGTGAGATTTGTAAACCGGAACCAGGGAAGCAATTATAATACAAAATGCCCCCCCCCCCCCGTCGATGAACAGCACCATTTATATGAAAATGTGTCCGCAGAAAGCTTTCGGGAAGTCCAACAAGTTTTTTGTGGGCGATCGGAACTAGAATCCGGTAAATCACATACGCGGGGGGGGGGTTCCCACTGGGTTAAGGGGACTATTTTACGTTGAGAATGATTTTTCCGATTGCTGAGTTTTCGCGTTTCACGCGCTCTACATACTCGCTTCTCGACGACAAATTCCAGGACAAATTAGTAGGGAGGCAGGTACGTGTGGAAGGGAGCCGTACCAAAGGAGAAAACTTGGAGGAGGGAAGGGGCTATTTTGCAAGCGTTTTCCACAACGCTGCGCAATTTGTTTTGCGTGGGAGGGGAGCTCTTTTTTTCGCTTTCACCTTTCAATCCATTGAACATGTTACCATCTGTTCCACAAATTCAAGTCTGATGATTAAATCGAAGTCACGAAATGCTTCAAGGTGAACAAACCCTGGCCAGAGCAGGAGGTGAGCTTGGGATGTACGTCGTGGGAGGGACATGGTTGTTGTTGAGCTCTCCATTCTTTGGTTTCTTTGCTATGACTTCACCATTCTGCACAGGAGTAACCTAAAATGACCGTTCCTCATTAATCATTTCACAATATTCTCATTTGAAACTGCTGGTTTATTAATCGTACAGAGCTGAGGAATAAAGTGTATGGGTAACGGATTTTTAGAATCCATTCAACCATTTCCTGATTTCACCCCTTCCCCATCCCATCTATCGCTTTTCTGATGATTCCCAACTTCCTACCTTTTTTTCTGGTTTTCCACAAATTTTTTCCGCCCCTCTGCCCAAAAAAAAACTGGCAGGAGCAGGGTGAGGTCGTCACCAACCAAGTGACAATAAGCTATCGAAAAGGAGTTGTATAGTGCATTTGCGGCAGGGGTATGTAGCTCTTGGTATTACTGGAGCGTAACGAGAGTTCCAAGAAAACAACTCACCTCAGCTTGCCGTTGGCGGCCGATACAGCTGTAAGTCACCGAGCATAAAATTTTATTCCGGCTCAAAGCTCAGCAGAATCCCATCGCGGCCGGATAAACCCCCCAGAGACCAAATACTACCCTTCCTCTCAAGTGAACACTCTGCTAGAATTCCTCCAGCGACGCTGTACCTTGCTTGACGCTGTACCTTGCTTGTGTACAGTTCATGTTGGGACATCAGGTGCCACCATCAGTTTGGGGTATCGATCAGCTGATCTCCGATAGTCGATGCTCACCAATTTTTTCAGTCACACACACCATCTAGTTGCAAATGTTCTTTCTCCGCCTTTTTGCCGTCGAACTTATTTACTCTACTAAACGTGCAACGAGTTCTTACATTTTATTTTTTTTTTGGAACCGATCGTATTCTTCGCGTTTTCTCACAATGGGTCTGATTTCCATTCAAAATGCCGTTCGAATCAGATATTTTCACTTTTTGATGAGAGGGCATTATTACGAGTACTCTAGTGGGCTTTGCTGCATAGAACTTAGTACCCTAGAGAGCCCTTCATGGGCTCTAGAAAGTTCCTTCAAGACTTAGAGTGGAAAGGGTACAGTATCGTTGTACATAGGGTGGTCGTACTTTTCCACTGGGAAGGGAGTCGTACTTGGTCGTTCTAGGCAAAAGGGGGAGGGGGTCGT